GACAAGTACTTTTCATGCAGAGGGCGCTAAGTGTCTGGAATGCACTGCCAGGGGAGGTGATAGAAGCAGATACGATAGCAACTTTTAAGAAGCATTTAAAAAGATATGTAAACAGGTAGGGAGTAGAGGGATATGGGCCGTACGCAGGCAGAGGGCATTAGTTCAGAATGACATCATGTCCAGCACAGACACTGTAGACAAAAGGGACCATTCCTATGCTGCACTGTCCTACTGTCTGTTCTATTAACTGGCTACTAACTAGAGCATTGGTATCAATGTCCAGGTGAATGAAGAGTGAAAAAAATTGGCAAGTGTGCAAAATGCATTTGGAGCATTTGTTACTGAGTAAAAGAAAATAACTTGCAGTGGGCTTTTGGAACACCGAGTATGAAAGCAGGTAGAGAATGCTGGAAAACAGTGGAACATTTGAGGTCAGCCACAACGATTAGGTACATCAATAGCACAGCTAATGTTTCATCATTTTCACACATAGTAAATACAGAGGAAGGCAATATGTTTGCCAAGGAACATAAATCCATTTAATACTAAAAACATGCAATTGGAATGAAGATCGATGGCAAAGCTGATTGTCTTCTGATCCCAACTGGACATCTGACAAATACAGGTTATGAACACCCCACCCAAGGTGTTCTCTCTACCCTCCAGCCTAGTCTCTTCCCCTCCCCTCCGCTTCACACTAGTTCAGCAGCAATCACTCCACAACAGGGGAGGTGATCTCAGACAGTCAATTCAAGAGGAAAGTGCTCCGACATTGCATGTATGGTTTCTGCTGCCCCACAATAAGTCAATTGGATTGGTATTCTCGTTCATTGAGGAGCTAAATGATGGATTCCCCCAGGCCAGGCAAGGATGCGAAGAGAACAGACAGTCAAATTAAGTTTACTGAAACTGCCAAAAATTGTAGAAATCTCTCATCCCTGACCAAGTGGTTGCTACCATTCAAGAAACCAATTAAACTGTCTACAGAGATTTAAAAAAAAAATCTACAGCACAGATAGGAAACTACGCAACCCACAAGTCAAACTTCAGCATGTATAAGAGGTGCTTGCATATGCTTTCACTCAGAAAATAAGCTCCAAGTCAATGTCAAATCCTTCTCAGAAGCTTATGCAAAAAAGTCTTCCATGAGACACCTGGAAAATTAAGATCCTCTTCCAAACAACTCTCAGTACACTATTTCATCCTTTCAATTCAGATCAAGGGCACAATTCTGGATAATGTAGGCCTTTTCTGTATGCTGAGATGCGCCTCTCAACAAGGTCAAACAAAAAGAAAAACAAAATTCACTCACTTCTAATGAAGAAGCTCAACCTTCAACTGATTTTGGGAAAAGAATTTCAGCAAGGTGATAGTTTACCAGGGAATAGCATTTCCCATGCTCCTAGATTGATTGAGTTCTGAAGAAGGGTCACCGGACCTGAAACGTTAACTCTTTTCTCCTCCACAGACGCTCCAGACCTGAGCTTTTCCAGCAACTTTGTTTTTGTTCTTGATTGATTTATTGTCACATGTACCAAAGTACAGTGAAATGCTTTGTTTACTAGCAGTACAGACAGACAGATCATAGCAAGCAAGGACATAAAGATCAAAAAGACTTGGAAACACACAGGTTACATTGCATAGGGCATGCGCTAGACGAGATCAACGTTAGCAAGATCAGCATGAGGCGAGAGAGTCCATTCATCAGTCTAACAACAGCAGGGTAGAAGCTGTTCCAGAAACTGCTCATGCTTGTGTTCAGGTTTATGTATCATCTGCCTGACCGGACAGGGTGTACGAGATCATTACCAGGGTGCGATGGGTTTTTGATTGATGTTAGCAGCCTTTCATTGGCAGTGAGCCGTGTAAAGAGAGTCCATGGATGGGAGGTTGGCTTCCATGATGGTCTGGGCTGTGCACACCACGTTCTGCAGTTTCTTACAGTCCTGGGCAGAACAGCTGCCATACCAGGCTGTCATGCACCCAGACAGTATGCTTTCCAATGGTGCATCCATAAACGTTGGCGATGGTCCTTATGGATAAGCCAAATTTCCTGAGCCGCCCGAGGAAGAGGCGGCAGCATTGTTGTACCTTCTTGACCGTCGCATCTACGTGGGAAATCAAGGTCAGGTTGTCAGTTGTCATCACGTTCTGCCCTCTCAACCTCACTTCCGTTGATGTAGATGGGGGCATGTTCTCCTCCTTTCTTAAGTCAATGATCAGTTCTTTACTTTTGCTGACATAAAGAGAGGTTGTTCTCATTGCACCATGTCACCAAGCCCTCCATCTCCCTTCTGTATTTTGACAAGTTGTTGTTAGATATCTGTCCCACTATGGCAGTGTCGTCAGTGAGCTTGCAGATGGCGTTTGTTCAGAATTTGGCAGCACAGTCGTGGGTGTACAGGGAGGACAGTAGGGGGCTGAGGATGCATCCTTGGGGGGCTCCAGTGTTGAGTGTTATTGAGGAGGAGGTGCAGTTATCTATCTTCACCGATTGCGGTCTGTTGGTCAGAAAGCAGAGTATCCAGCTGCAAAGGGTGGAGCTGCAACCAAGTTCAGAGTTTTAAGATCAGTCTGGAATGGATAATGGTGTTGAAGCGGAGCTGTAGTCAATGAGCAGGAGTCTGACATAGTTGTCCATGTTGTCCAGATGTTCCAGGGGTGAGCGCAGGGCTAGAGATACGGCATCATCTGTGGACCCGTTACATCAGTCGGCAAACTGTAGGGGATTGAGACAGGCTGCCAGACTAGATTTGATGTGGGCCATGACCAGCCTCTTGAAGCACTTCATCATTGAGGTCAGAGCCACTGGGCAGTAGTCATTAAGGCACACTGCACGTGCTTTCTTAGTACCAGGATAATGGTAGTCTTCTTGAAGCAGGAGGGGACTTCGGCTTGTAGGAGGGAGAGGTTGAAGATGTCAGTGAAAACCTTCGTCAGTTGGTCCACAGAGAATCGGAGTGCTCGGCCAGGGACACCGTCTGTGCCCACTGCTTTCCTTGGATTGGCTCCCAGGAAGACCGATCGGACGTCTGCAGCAGTGACAGATGGAGCAGGCGTGTCTGGGCAGGTGTCACCACACCACTGGCATTCTGCTCAAACCCAGCATAGAAAGCATCAAATACGTCAGGGGTGGAGGAGTCTTCATTCACTATCTTGCTCTGCTTTATTTTGTATCCCATAATTGGTGTTCAGGCCTTGCCATAGGCTGTGGGAGTCTGTTAGGTAGGTTTGGGCTTCTAAATTGGTCTGGCCTCTTGGCATTTCTGATGGCCTTACGGACATAATATCTGGATTTCTTGTACTGGTCTGGGTCATCCAACTTGAATGCTGCATGTCTGGTCTTCAGTGGGGAGTGGATTTCTTGGTTCATCCAAGGTTTACAGTTGGGAAACACTTGTATTGACTTCTTTGGTATGCAGTCCTTCACACATTTGCTAATGAAGTCCACTATGGTGGCGGCATACTCGTCTAGGTTTTCTTCTGAGTACTTGAACATGGTCCAGTTCATCGATTCCGAGCAGCCCTGGAGACAGTCTTCCACAGTCTCAGACCAGCATTGCACTTGGTTTTGGGAAGGATCCTCCCGTTTCAGCTTCTGCTTGTTAGCTGGGAGGAGGAACACAGCACTGTGACCTGACCTTCTGAAATGTGGATTGGGGGATGGAGCGGTAGGCATCTTTGATGGTTGTGTAGCAGTGGTCCAGAATGTTCAGTCCTAATGTGGGGCAGGAGATGTATTGGTACTTTGGCAGCATCCTCAAGGTTAGTTTGGTTGAATTCACCGGCCACAACGAATAGGGCCTTAAGGAATTTTGTCTCTAGTGTCTGTGGCATTGTAAATCACATCTAGGACATTCCTCATATCCACATGGAGCGGTATACAGACTGCTGTCAGGATGGCAGAGGTGAACTCATGGTAAGCACTAGGAACACATTTTATTCAAGGTACTTTAGGTCCGGGGAGCAATGGCTTGCCAGGGTCGCTATGTCTGAGCACCAGGAAGTGTTGATCAGAAAGCATACCCCACTGCCCTTTGCCTTACCCAAGGACGCCATGTGATGTATGGAGAACCCATCAGTTTGTAGGGCACAGTCAGGAGTGGCAGTGGTGAGCAAAGTCTCCAGGAAGCAGAGCACACAATAGTGTCTCAGTTGAGAGATTTGGACAATAGCAGGTAGCTCAAAACACTGCAGAAGTACTACTAGCAGTGCCTTCATATCCAATATCCTTCTAACAACCAGCAGCAAGAAAGGCAGTCCAACTGCAGCATCCTCTGCCAAGCCAACATTCCTCATGTCGAGGCATTAATCACTCAAAACCAGCTTCACTGAGCAGGACATGCCAATCAATACCAGATACATGAAGTAGCTGTCAATTTCATCAAAAGACTTCCAGCAGGACAACAGAAATGCTTTAGACATGTCCTCAAAGCATTGCTGAGGAGGTCAAACATGCCTGACAACTCATTCGAATTCCATGCTTCTGACTAACAAATATAAAGGCGGCATCCGGATGTGAAGCTGAGGTATTGGATATAGAAGATGTTAACTCCAAATACCTAATCTACTGAATTCTTCAAACACCACCTGCCCTACATGTAACCAAATCTATTAATTGCACACTAGATTTATTAAACACCTCAGCATGGATCAAACCAGACTGCAATCAAGTCATCCTTGATCTCATTGGATGGTTTCAATAGTAAGTCAGTTTACTCTAAGGCATTGCCTTCTGGAGATGAGGCAAGAAAACTATAGGAAAATTATGAATTGATTTGCAACTTGCCCTTGATGGATTAAACTTACTTTGTTGCACTGTAACTTTGCCAACTACAAAAGACATTTAAGGATTACAATTAAAATTTAGATCACTTGCTAAAAGTCAGAACTTTTCACCCTTAAGTACTTCTTTATACAAAAAGACAGAAACACGAGATTCTATGCACTCGAGCAAATCACATCTGTCACGTGAATATTTTTGTTTACAAAAAACTTACCAGTCTGTATGTCTTTCCACAAGACCCAGGACTTTGAACTGTCTTCAAAGATGACAAAGCAGCTCTCTTTCTGTTTGTTCACCTTTAATTAAAATTAGAAGGAGCTTCAGGTTTTCTCTTTTGCAGAATTGTGTAGGTTAATGCCAAACTACATTTCTATCACAATACTCTCCATTGTGCTCTTAGAAGACAAAAAACTGCATTATTTCAATGCTGACATCCTCATTTTTGTACCACTATTCTTCTCAAACTAGCCTAGCATGTCTCCTTTATTAGGTTCATTAGGCATCAGGTGCAGAAAGGACATCTCACATCCTATCCAAAGGCTTAGAAATGGAATAATAGAACACTGTTTAGTGATTGCAATCAAGATCAAAACCAAAAAAAACACAATGGTACAATTTAAAAAACATTTCTAGTTTTAATTACCCACCCTTGAGTGACAAATAACTGTTTGGAACAACAGCTGTTTTACAAAACAGGGGCACAACCATTGATACAATTCACATAATCATGTAAATAAAGCAGGATGGTCAACACCTTCCAATCTAATCCCTGGGTAAATTATTTTCTTCTCTTGCACAAATACAGTGTGTTTCAATATTTTGAACTTTGGGATCCAAATATTGAAATACACTTTTTCTTTATTAGGAGCATTAGATGAAAGAAGGCAAATCAATTTTCTATCAGGGAAAGTCTTTGAACCAAACGCCCAAGCTTCCAGGAAGATCAAAACACTGCAGCCGATAGAAGAAACAGCAATGGAGAACAGGTAAGCTAAGAAGGCAGAAAGGACAACTGGCATCATATAAAGAATAACCAAGTATAGAAGCAGCACGCTGGATGATAGTACACAATCACAGATCACAATAAGGAGACCAAGGAGAGTGTCAGCTGAATCCAATGGATAGAGTAGAGAACAAGCAACTAACAAACTTTTGTACGTGTTTAGGGTGGGGGTATTTCTAGTGCTCAAATTCTCTCATGTCTGGCCACTTTTTGCAAATGCTCAACAGGACTTGTCTACTCATTGTTGCCAGCTGAATTCCTGTAATTGCTGAAACATTTCTCCGATAATTATTGAAAAGTTTAACACAAAAATAAATAATATTGTTGGATTTAGCATTTACCCACTGTCCTGCTCAATGCAGGAATAGTTTCTTTTACATGACTAACTTATGAGTGCTCCACATAAATGAACAATGCTTCAAAATGACGTGCTCCCTGCTTTTGCCAAGCTTAAGCATAGTTATTCACCTTTATGACAGTTCCAAGGTAAAATAAGCCATCTGACCACCTGGCTAGGACATCCTGGCCTTCCTCAAACTTGCATACAGGTTTTTTTCCTTTTGATCCATCCCGCAATGACAATCGAACAGAGGACACTGGTGTCTTCTGGTTTCGACGGGAGGGAGATCGCTTGTGGAGAGATGAGTTACCTGCTCCCGTAGTGTCTTTGTCCATCAGGAAAATAGCATCATCAACTGAAATTTAAAGTTCAAAATGAGCCATTCCAGAACAACTCATTTCTGTATTATTTGCCACTGTAAATTACTGATGATCTGCACAAAGTTACCATATGTCTAATACAACAGTTGCTAAATTTGATCACATTGGGGCCTTTAGAAATTAGCTTCAAAATAACACCCTACAAAGAGTTAAAAGTCTTAGAAAAAAAAACCACCCCACCCCAACTGGCTCAACTTATCTCAAGTTACCAATACCGTACAGATCACAAATTCCAGTTTATTTCTCAGTCTATGCTCAAGTAGCTAAATCAACATACTCTATGGAATTAGTACACAAATCAATTAGGAAGGAAAATTGTTCTGATTTGTTACATCCATCTAACGTTGCATCTTTTGCAGAAAGAATCAACTGTACCTCCTCATCAAATGATTTAATGGCCTCTCAACACTTGGTATACAAGCTCACTGATGAATATTTGATCGCTCAGACAAACAAGGTGAGTTCCAGACTCAAATGACCCCAAGAAAAAACATTCCTCCTCAATCCTCCCCTTAAATTTCTACCTATTAACTTAATCCATGCTCCCTGGTTATTGAGCCCTCTACCGATAGAGGAAGTACCTTCCTAACCACCCTTCCCATGCCCTTCAGTCTTATACATAATTTTATCATACATCTTCTCAACCTTCATTACTCCAAGGAAAACAACTCCAATCTGTTCAATTTTTCTTTATAGCTCAGATATTCCAACCCAGGCAGCATCTTGGTAAACCTCCTCTGCATCCTCTTCAATGCAATCACATCCTTCCTATATTAGTGACGAGAATTGCATGCAGTACTCCAGTTGTGATCCAGGCGGAGCTTTGTACAGTTCCAGCATAATCGCCAAACCTCACATTCTGTGGTTCAGCTAATAAGGGCAACAATCCCAGTTGTCGTCTTAAACACATCATCTACCAGCTCTATCTTTAAGGATTACGGATATGCACATCAAGGTCCCTCCAATCTTCAGTTCATTCCTGGATCCCACTATTCATAATGTAACCCCTTGGCTTGTTAGTCCTCCCTACATGCATTTCCATGTTGATTCAATTTGCCACTGCTGTCCACCTGACAAGTCTGTTAATGTCCTCTAGCAGTTTATGGCCATCATCATTTTTTAAACCACCATCAACTGTCATGTCATCCAAAAATGTCTTGATCACACCTCCTGTATCTACGTCCAACTCATTAATGTACACCCCAGGAGGAGTTCTGCAAAACTTTGCTGGAAACAAACTTCCAATCACAAACATCCCTTAACCATCAGTCTCTGCTTCCTGCCTCTCAGCCAGCGTCAGATCCATTGTAATACTTTCCCTTAGATCCCACAGGCTCTGTCTTTTGGTTTTAACTAGTGTGATATGAGAGACCTTATCAAAAGCTTTGTTAAAGTTCCTGCTGATCATATCAAATGCATCACCTTAATCAACACTCCAGACTTCCTCAAAAAAATTAAATTTGTCAAACATGACATTCCCTTAGAAAATCCACATTAATCAAATAAAGACAATGTCTCTCCAAGTGCAGCAATATTTCATACTCCTACTGCTAATAACACCCTAACCTCCAACTGGGATCTAATTTTTTCATAACCATGCCTCCCACTTTTTTAATAATGGATAATGTGAAAAGACCTCTAATTCTCAAACACCTCACCTGCCATCAGAAAAAAATTTCAAAATTCTGCCAGGGCTGCCAATGTCTCCTTTGTTGCATCCTTCAAAAGGCTAGGAAACGTCCCATCCAGGCTTGCAGACTTATGTATTTAAGACACCAAAACCTGCTAGTACTTCCTCTTTCTTTCGATATTAATTTCTCCTAATATTTCACAGTCCCCGACCCTGATGTCTATAGTGTGTTGTGCTTTTCCACCATGATGACTGACAAAATCTTCAGAGGACTGTGTCCATGACTTCCGGGTCTACACAGATTACGCCCAGGGTGCATCTGGGTCCCCCTCTTTCCCTGGTTATTCTCTTCCTATGTGTACATTTTAAAAACACCTTTTGATTTTACTCCACTCACCAATGCGTTCTCCTACATTGTCTTTGGTTTCCTAATTTCCTGTTTAGTCTCAACTGCACTTTTCATACTTCTCTAGGGACTTTCCCCTATTGAGCCTTTGGTATCTGCCAAAGGCTTTTGATTCTTAATCCTGACCTTAATGTCCTCCAGTCTTGGTCTTACCCTTTGTCTTTATGGTTACCTATCTGCCCTACACTCTCTCTAATTTTTTCCTTAAATGCCATCCACTGCTCTGACAGTTTAATCTGCATAAGAAATAGCAACAAAAGTAGGCCATTCAGCCCCTCAAGTTTGCTCTGCCATTCAAAACAATCATGGCAAATTCGACAGTACTCACGTCCACTTTCCTGCCCTTCCCCATAACCTTTGATTCTTCTACTGATCGAAAAGCTCTCTCAGCATTAAATATACACAAGGACTTTGCCCCCAAACAGCTCTCTGTGGCAAGGAGTTCCAAAGATTGACAACCATTTGACAGAAGAAATTCCTCATCTCAGTTTTAAATTGGCATCTCTTAATTCTGAGACAATGCAGTCTGGTCTTAGACTCTCCCATGACAGGAAACATCTTCCCAGAACTGACTGTCAAACCCCTTTGGAATATGTTTCAATGAAATCACCTTCCATTCTTCTAAATTCCAACGAGTAGAGTCCCAACCATTTTAACCTTTGCTCGTAAGGCAATCCGCCCGTGCCATGGATCATCCTAATGATCCTTCTCTAACTGTCCCCAACAAAATGTCTTTCCTTAAATAAGTGAATTAAAATTGCTCACAGTACTCCAGACGTGGTCTCACCAGTACCTTGTACATTTACAGAAAGAATTCCCTACTTGCATAGTCCAACCCCCTTGAAATAAGGGCCAACATTCCACTGGCCTTCCTGATTACTGGCTGCACCTGTGTGCTAGCTTTGTGCTTCATGCACAAGTGCCCTCAAGATCCTTTGTGCTGCAGCTTTTTTCCCTTTAATATCCTGTTCTTTTGTTCTCCATTCCAAAATGAGCCATTTCACATTTTTCCACATTGTACTATGTTGCCAACATTTTCCCCACTTATCTATATCTCTCTAAACTGTTTGTGTTCTCTCACAACCTGGCCTTCCACCTATTTTGAGAGCTCTACAAATCCGGCTACATTACATTTGCTTCCTTCATTCAAATCATTAACATATATTGCAAAAAAGTTGCAGCCCCAACACTGATACCCATGGAACTCCACTGGTCGCAGGTCACCATAATTATTGCTCTCTTTTTATATGCTCCTGTTCTTTGTTGGTTTACAACCTTTCCTACAGTGACGACTGTCTGGGTGTCTATACACTAACTCTCAACGTCATCTTTCCTTTGGCTTTTCCCTTCACTGAAACAGACTCATCTTCATCCGAGAAGAGTCATCTCTCAGCCGTCCTCATTTTCTCTCTTTTTTTACATTGCTAACTGACCATTTTTTCCATCCATCCTGTCTTTCCAAAAGGCAAAATATCCCCGAATGTTAAGGTCCTGGTTTTGATAGCCATTATGGAAACATTTGTTATAAGGATACGAGATCATACACACTTACCTCAATTCGCACTGAATGCTTCAAGCACCGAGGAAACAAATGGGCAGTCACACATTCTGGCTCATCCTTTTATTTTCTGGTAATAATCATCCCCATCACTAACCTACAATCCTGTCTTCTCCTTTACATTTGATTTTATAATTTTTTCATGCTACTGAACCCACAGTCCCACTTTTTAGTTTAAAGCCCTACCCATAGCCCTGGTTATGCAATTCGAGGGGATTCTGGTCCCAGCATGGTGCCTATTCCATCAGAACAGTCCCTTCCTTCCCCAGTATACTGCCAATATCCCATTAATTCAAACTTTTTCCCCACACTAATCTATGAGCCATGCATTTACCTCTAATCTTTTTGACCCTGTACCAATTAGCTTGTGGCTCAGGCAATAATCCTGAAATTACCACCTTGTTCACGATACATTTTAGCTTTGCCCCCTAGCCTCAGCAGAACCTCCTTCCTCTTTCTATGTATATTGTTGGTACCTATGCAGCAACTGGATATTTGCACTCCCATTCCAAGTTCCTCTGCAGCCTAGATAAGATATCCTGAATCCAGGCACCTGGCAGAAAATACGGCCTTCAGGACTCTCAACACTGGCCACGGAGAACAGGGTCTATTCCCAGACTATTACAACTACATTTCTCTTTTCTCCCCTTTCTTGAATTTCTCCCTGTACCGTGATGTTATCGTCAGTTTGCTCATCCTCCCTACAGCCCCTGCTCTCATCCACATAGAAAGCAAAAATCTCAAACATGTTAGATAAGCTCAAGGGCTGAGGTGCCTGCAGCATGACCTTCTGGATCTCTCTACCTGCCTCACTCGTAATCACACCCTCATATCCCTGGCTCCTGACCAAATGCAAGGTGGTTAATCTAAAGGGTGTGATTGAAACACAGGCTCAGGTAACTGTCCCCTTCTCTGACATGTCGCAGTGCTTGATATCCACGCCACACAGATACAAAACATCACCAGGTCCTGCACATCTTGTTTATTTACTTGGTTCTTAATTTTGTTTTAAGATTTCCAGATCTTTTAGTTTTTAAATCTAAAATATTTCTCCTACTTACCTTTAAGCTGAAAGTAACTTAATATTGTCAAAATAGCTGCTCCAAGTCCACCTAGGCTAAACTTTACCTTTTCTTAATAAAATTAGCCCTTACCCAATTTTGAAGATTTATCCCAAACTCAACATTATCCTTTTCCATAACTGTTCGAAATTTAAGTTATAATCACAATCTCTAAATTCTCCTCTACTGACAACCATTTGCCTGGGCTAATTTCTGAAAATTACGTCCAGAAATGCCCCGCGTTTGTTGGGCTTTTCATATACTTGTAAAAGAATGTCTCCTAGATGCAAATGAGAATTCAAATGCACAGCTATTCTATTCTTTATTGTAGACTCCAACATTTTCCCAATAACTGACGTTAAGTTACCTGGCCAACAGTTCCTGCTTTTGGTCCCCTTTCCTTTTTAAATAATGGTGTTGCATTGAAAGTTTTCCAATCCTCTGGGACTTCAAGAATCTAAGGTTTCCTAAATTACTACTACCAGGTAATATCCACTACCCACTGTACCAGTACCTTCACTATCTCTGTGACTACTTCCTTTAATATTCGTTTAATATTTGGTGAGGTTATGCACTTTGGTAGGAAGATCAGAAGCACTAAATTTTAACTAAATGGAAAAGACTGCAGCAAACTATGGTTCAAAGGGATTTGGGAGTCCTCATCCATGGATTACAAAAAGCTAGCATCCAAGTTCAGTGGGGAATAGGGAAGAGAAGTGTAATATTGGCCTGTATTTAAAAAGGGAATGGTGTATTAAAGTATCAATGTTTGGATAATCTATACAAGACACCCATCAGAGCACTGGAACACCGAACACTTTTTAGACCTCTTATAGGAATATAAGAGGAGAAGAACACATACGAGATCAAAGGCAAGTTATACCGGCCTTGGAGGCAGTCCAGAGATACATTGATACTAGGTATGGAGGAACTGTCTTACAGCAAGCGGTTGAATAGATCAGGCCTGTACTTGCTGGAGTTTAAAAGAATGAGAGCTGGCCTTAAGAGGACTTGACAGGATAGATGTGGGAAGGTTGTTTCCCCTTGTGGGAGAGTCTAGGCCCAGAGGCCATAATCAGAGGAGGAGGTCACTCAATTTGGACAAAAATGAGGAGCAACTTCTTTCAGCGGATGGTGGAACTATGGAATTCTGTCTCACAGAGGACTGTTTAGGCTAGGTCATTATTTGGCATTTTTATTGAGTAAGGGAATCAAGGGTTATGAAGTGGAATTGAAGATTATCAGACCAGCCTTAATGGCTGATTGGCCCACATCTGCCACTACATCTTATGGTCTTAAAAAAATTCTCAAAATCAAGAGTTTGTAGGAAC